ATCCAAATTATCTATCAAAGTTTCTTTAAGAGGTCATTATTACAGCCAAAAATCATTTAAGTCTTCAATGAAAACCAGTGCTTTTGCTCCTCCTTCTGGTACTGTGCAGAACTAAGCTGAATTTGGATACTTCAGGTACTTCTGTGGTGCAAGTCACAGCTACAGATGCAGATGACCCTTCGTATGGGAACAGCGCCAGAGTCATTTACAGCATACTTCAAGGGCAGCCCTATTTCTCTGTGGAGCCTGAAACAGGTCAGGAATAATGAATTGGTGTTTGTTAATTTTATCATCTCTATGACCTTTATCAGTAGAAAGAGGATGGGAGAACAAGAACAAAACCTTAACATGAATACTCACAGATGAGTGATGATGCAACACTTAACGATTTAAAAACTCAAAATTAGATGATTGAGTGAGCTAATGGAAACATAGCTGCTTTGGTATTTTTACATATGGGTTTAGATCACTCTACAGCACATGTGGTAGGTATTGCTAGGAATAGTAAAACTACACAAATTATAAAAGATTTACACATATTTTTATAATTTCTAGACAATAAAAATTAATAACAAAAACATATTTTGTCTTTCAAAAATTCACTAATTTATGAATACTATGTATGGGCTTAATCAAATAATAATTGAAAACTCAATGAAGATAACACAAGCTTTTGTCTTTTCTCAAGGTATCATCAGAACTGCTTTACCAAACATGAACAGAGAAAACAGAGAACAATACCAAGTGGTCATCCAGGCAAAAGACATGGGTGGCCAGATGGGAGGCTTATCGGGGACCACCACAGTGAACATCACGCTGACTGATGTCAATGACAATCCACCTCGCTTCCCCCAAAGTAAGTGTCCTTTAATGATCATTCTGCAGGGCAAAAAATTTAGAGAAAAAATAGAAAAAGAAGAAAAGCAGTTGTCAATCATTTGAGTTAAAACACTTTGAAAATGTGCTACAAAAATGAATAAAAGCTGTAGATGCTGATGGAATCACTGTTATTGAAAGATAAAATTAAATATTTCATTCAGAGACATGAAAACCTATGATCCCCAAACCTCTCCATATGAGAACTTTGTATCTCTGATTGTAATTTAAGACCCATTTCTTTCAGTTAACAAAAAGAAATAATGTTTTATTGGAGAACAAACTAAGTCATAGTTTCACAATAAATATGTCCGTTTCTACTTAGAATTTAATAAAGATGACCCTAACTTGAGGATAAAGTTGTTCAATAAAAAATCTAATTTGACATATTATAAAGAATCTTCCAGAAAGGAGAGTATAGGAAGAACTTTAGAAACTAATCAGACTTGCATTTAATTTCACTGTATGAGGAATGGCAACCATACTCAAACACTTTGTATTCCTGATCTATGTATAGACCTATTTTGAATTCACCTGTCAAATTCTTTTTTTTTTCTTTTATTTCAGCATATTATGGGGGTACAGATGTTTAGGTTACGTATGTTGTCCTTGGTCCCACCCCCCCAAGTCCGTGTTTCAAATATGTCC